GCCCGGATAAACCGGAGGACCGTCGACTTGATGCGTCTTTACGCGAGTCATGCCGTAGACTTGATGCGTGTTACGCGAACCGTACGATGAGGTGGGCCTGAGGTGTGTTACGCGGGTCGGTATTGATCAGGGTGGATACATGTGCGTGTCGGAAGTTGAAAGATGTGAGCATGTGTAGGGATTGAGATTGGAATAGCTTGGAATGTTATTGTGAATGCATGTGTAGAAAATTGATTGTATCTTGGAGGGCATGTGCATTGAGAAGTTGGCTATGTTTTTGCGATCCAACTAACGTGCAGGGTTATATATGCATCGAGGTAAGGCTAGAGAGTGCCTTTGAATGTTATCGCATGTTGATTAAATGTGTTGGGTGTTATTCTATTTGTTTGGAGGTACACGTTAGCCTAGGTGGGGTTTAGGATGCTTGCTTATTGAAACTCGTTCTCATGATTATTATATAACTATTTCAGACCCCTGACCACGACCATGAATGGTCCGTCACAGCGTTTTGGGATCCCGAGGAAGAGCCAATGGAGCGAGACCCCGAAGAGGAGCCCATGGAGTTGGTGGGCCCTTTTTGTATAGCTAGGCTAGCCTACTCGACCACTTGTCCATTTTTTATGATGGTGGTTTTAACCTTAATGGCCTTTTGTACATAAGGTTGGCTTTTGTAAGTACGTGCCGTTAAATGAAGTATGTGGTTGATTTGTTCAAGTATTCTCCTACTACCCTTGGTCTTTAAAACTTGTATGGGTGTTATAATTGCTTCCGCGTGCGTTCTATGCTTCAAGTTTCGTTTGGGTCGACGACAAGTCCTGGGACGTCGCATTCGAAATACGACCATGGAGGGATGTCGCAGGCTCGATGGGGTCCGGGGTGTGACAGAGGCATCCATTAACGGATCCATTAATTCTATCCATTAACGCGTCCATTAACATGTCCATCAAAACCGCCGCACAAGAGTTAAAGAACGTGAACTAATGTTGAGCCATTAATAACGCATAATTTTCAACACCTTATGGCGAATTTCCGTTTGATATACTTGGCAAATCTTCTTGACATTTGGTGTTGAACTACTCTTTCCAATTTGGGGGATATTGTCAATTTACTACTGAAATGCATCATTCATTTTACTAAAGTGTAGATTCTATGGAACTGCTCCATTTTTCTCATCCTAACTATTACACCTTCCTAAGAAAAACCTCTATATTAGATATTTGACAACTCGATTTTAATCAAAGACTTTATTAAAAGTAAAATTTTCACGAAATTTTTAGTAAGTTGAATTGCTAAAACCCACCTTTCCTTTCTCATCCTCAAGCTGGATTTGTTTGGGAAAATGGCACCGGACATCCCATATCTTATTATATGCAATCGAATCATAAGACTTTCAATTGGTACAAATAGGTCCTAAACCTTTTGTGAAAAGTACAATTGAATCATAAAATCTTATATCAAGTTATGAACTTTTTACAAAAAAGAAAGATACACAATCAAGTCTTAAATCTATGATGAAAAAGTACGACTCAAAACTATTCAAGTGTCGCATAGGCAATTTCAAAAGCTGTACAAGGACTTGATGATCAAATTTTTAGAAAGATTTTGAACTTTTTACATTGATTAAAATGTTTTGGTCTCGATTGCGCATTGTACCAAGAACATGCTGAAGCTTGTGAACCAACATGGTTGATTTCTGTGTTAAAAAAACAAAAACATGGTTGATTTCGGGCGTTTCTCCTATTTAAGTCCAACTCGCGGTGAATCCAAAGGCCAAGCCCCGCTAAAGATGTCTCGTGAACCTTTCGGTCTAGTCATAGATAGCCCACCCATCATTTTGACAAATAACTCTAATAACTGTTGTAATCTCATATACACACCTGGCTATCAATGACTACCCTTAGGAAAATAAAAACGTTGGTACCAAAATTTGGATTTTACTGAAAGAGGTACTTTTGCTATCAGAGTTCTGCTTCTTTCGCGAAAAATGAATAACTTCAAATACGATTTCCTAAAAAGATAATTATTTGTATCGCTTAGGAAAATTAACCGATAGAAGATGTTTTCATTATTATCGACGGTCTTTGTCTAAACATTTTCATTAATTAAGGAAATATTATTTCTATTAATCTTAGCCGGTGACAATAGCCGATTGTCTTTAGGAATATATTTTGAGTAAGGCGGCTTGCTCATACCCCTCTACTTGGTGGTGATCAAGGTTAATTAACCCTCCACCAGTTACTAAATAGAGTTTTATTTATTACATACACGTTGCTGATGTTCAAATTTCATCAACATTTCTTTTTTGAGTCTCTTTAATATTTTTTATATTACTTTGATTATTTCTTTGAATTAAACTCCTTGAGCTTCACAGATGTCCCGAATTCTTCAAAAGTTGAGCTCAAAATACGTGGGATTAGTCAAAGCCTAAAAGGGTGAGAAGATTGAGCTGATTATATTCCCTTCGGCCCGAAATAATCACAAATTAATCAAATCAGCATACTTCTTTTTTCTTTGCCATGGAGATACTTAGTTTACTATTTTGATGTAATACGTCGATTACTATTTATGTATGGAAATAATTATTATATAATTCATAACCATAGATTCGTAGGCAAAATAACAAAGAAATGCACAACATTCAATTACAAATTTAACGTGAAATTTCAAATTTATTATATATTTACTCGATATTTTACCACTAATAGGACTTTTTTATATGTGACCAAAAGAATATGTACAAAAAATATACACAATCTTTTACCATTCCGGCAAAATAGCATAATACACTTTCATCTTAATATTTATTTCATGATTTCTCTCCATCGTTCTCTTTTCCTAAAATCCAGAGTAGGACCTTTCAATTAAAAGTCACTTATATAGAATTGTTTTGATATGTGCAAACTTTTTCGTGATAAAAAAAATGAAGAAATTTCCAAATAAAGGCTTAAAATGTTCTCGTTTTCTCAAATAAGAACATGAAATGAACATTATCTCAAATAAGAGTCTGAAATGTCCTAAATTTTTCAAATAAGGGCCTGAAATTAATTTTATCTTAAAAAAGGGCCGGAAGTGAAGTGGTCACATATTAATATCAAAAAAGGGCACGACCTTACTGGCTAAAGGGCATTTTCGTCCTTTTATTTTTTTGAATTTTTTTCTTTTTCTTTTCCCTCTTTCGAAGGTCACCAAACTCATACGAGGGCCAACCAGGCATCCGACGTCGGCGTGGTCGTGCCGACCCAACCCAGGCGAGGGCGACCCTCTCCCGAACTAGCAAGGCCAAGGGTTACCCAACGCCGGCAAGGGGTGAGTAGTCAGATGTGGCGAGGGCAACTCTCGCCCGACGCCGGCAAAGGCAACCTCACCCTCTCGTCCTTACCTGAGCTAAGTGCGGCTCTTGCCTCGACGCCAGCCTCTCTTGCCTCAACGCGAGCAAGGACAGCCCTCACCTGAGGCAACAAATTAAACAAATATACTTCAAAAGAAATTTGCCGCGCCGACGCTAGCAAGGACAGCCCTCACTTGAGGCAACAAATTAAACAAATATACTTCAAAAGAAATTTGACTAAAATATTCCTTCTCCAATGGCCGGGTGAGCAAGAAGTCCTTTGGCCACTTCAACTTATCCCTTATTTGAAATTTTTGTCAAAAAAAAAATGTATTTTCTTGAAATGTAACCAATAAGAATCTAGTTAAAATACAACAGAATCATCAGAAAATTATATTCGCATAGCAATCGAGGCTAGTCATGGCCACGGTTCGAAATCGGCCGGTTCCGGTTCGAAACCGGCGGTTCTGGTTCCGGTTCGAAACCGGCGGTTCAAGTTCGTGGCCATGTGTGAACCGGAACCGGAACCGACCGGTTCCGGTTCGTAATTTAAAAATTAAAAAAATAAATTATGAAATAAAAAAATAATTAATTATAAAAATATGAAATAATGAATTATTCAATATAAATTATAATCAAAATGAAAATTATAGGGGTGATCGGTTCCCTGTCGGAACCAGGAACCGAACCGATAAGACCGTCCTTTTAATTTTAGAAATAGGAACCGGACCGGCAAACCATAGAACCGGAAACCGGACCAATGGTCCGGTTCTAGGCGGTCCAATGGAACCCTTTGCTCTTAACTAGCAAAGGATCGTAGCCACAAAAAGCATACAACTTCACATGCTCATGACTTGGCTTGGATTTTATAAACATCCCCTTTGATGGTCTCTTCATTCCCATTCGATGTGGGACTCTCTTGACATTTGCATGAAGACAAGGCAAGAGTCTCATATTGAAGGCGTTCAAGACAAACCGAAAGTCCCACATCGAATGAGAATGAAGAGACCATCAAAAAAGTTATTTATAAAACCCAAACCAAGCTTTGTAATTAGAGTTCAATACACCCAAGCCAAGCATTGCAATTGGAGATCAATGCACTTACAATGCATGTCAATTAGAGTTCAATTTGTTTTATAAAAAAATTTATTAATTTTTTTTAAAAAAATTTCATTATTATTTTTTTAAAAAAAATTAATTTGGAACCAGAACCGGAACCGTGCCCATAGGGCACGGGCCGGTTCCGGTTCCGAACCACGGGCCCGGTCAACAGGTCGGGCCCGGGTTTGACCGGGCCGGTTCCGGGCCAAAACCAGCCCGTGGCCATGACTAGTCGAGGCTAATTGAATTGCAAGAGAAGAGAAAATGCAGAGCAAATAATTCAGATGCAAAAGAAGAGAAAATACAGGGCAAATAATTCAGGAATCGCTCGCAGAAAACGCGAAATCCCAAATCGGAAATCACCCTCCATGACAAGATCGGAGATGACCGGAAAACTTTTGCGTCCAGATTTCAGGCCAGGAGAAGAAGCAAGGAAACGACATTTTCTCAAACATGTAGGGGGTCGAAAATTCCCAGGAAAAGACGCGAGAACAGATCCCATTCGATCGGGTAAAACGTTAGCCTCGGGTCCGAGAAACTTGCGGCCAGCTTTTTGTTTGTATCTCCGAGGATGTACTTGGGCTTACTAGACCGGCTTCAGAGACATGGCTGTCTCAGCGAGTCTGAAGAGCGAAAGGCATCGATGTCCGAGCAGTTAAACGCCCCTCTCGGCGCACCGCCGTACCAGAGAGGCTGCCTGAATCACCGCTCGTTTGTTCCCTCCCCAAACAAAAACCCAAAACCCGAAACCCAAAACAAACAAAATACGAAAAATTAAAACGGAGATTTCAGAAGAAGGGAGTGGGTGCGTTTTGCGTGCGAGCATGTCAGCCTTCCTCCCCCCAAGAAATCCGCCAGAGCAAACGAATCGTAGCGAACGACGATCGGGGGGGAGCGAAGGTTGTGTGTATCTTCGGTTTAGGAGCTGTATTCATCTCGAAGGCACTGGCGAATTTTGATTCAGCCCAAGAGGCAAACTTCAGCTCCCCACCCACCACCACCACCATCGATTGTGGAATCACCCGGTGAAAAAGAGAAAAAAGAATCGAACGAACCAGCGAAAAGGCATCGAAGCTCGCGCTCGCAGCCGATCTTGAAGAGGAGGAGGAGGAGTAAATCCGCCGCGCTGCAAAACCCTAGAGCGAGAGACACAGGAGGAGGAGGAGAACGGAGGGCTATTTATACAGGCACTCGGGGGATCCGGACCGGGCCCGAGGTCGGGTCGGGTCGGGTCGGGTCGGGTCGTAAACCGGGACTCGACGTGTCGGGTCAGTTGGTTGGAAAAAGGAGGGAGGGAGGGAGGGAGGGAGGGAGGGGGGGGGGGAGAAAATTGAGTTGAGGAAATTTTACGATGCGAAACAACGAATTTTCCTTTTTCTTTTTAGGGAAAAAACCACCAAAAATCCCAAACTTTGTCATGTGCACATTTATCACGAACTTTTTTATGGCCTCCACTTTCTTTTTGTGACATTTACTCTAATGTATTTAGTCCATGGGCATTTCGTCTTTTCTCTTTTTCTTTTTTTTCTTTTTTTTCCTTTCGTGAGGGGCTCGCCGGATCCGGCGAGGGCGCCCATCGCGGATCCGGCGAGGGGGCCTCGCCGCGTCAGCGAGGGCGGCCCTCGCCGATCCGCGAGGCGGCCCTCGCCGGCGTCGGGCGAGGTTCGCCCTCGCGCGAGCGAGGAGGGCCCTCGCCCGACTCGAGCGAGGTCGACCCTCGCCGGCGTCGGGCGAGGTCGACCTCGCTGAGTCGGCGAGGCCGCCCTCGCTCGCCCGAGCGAGGGCGACCCTCGCCGGCGTCGGCGAGGTCGCGCCTCGCTCGCCGAGGCGAGGCGAACCTCGCCGACGCCGGCGAGCGGCCCCTCGCCGGATCTGGCGAGGGCCGCCCTCGCTCGGGCCGGCGAGGGTCGACCTCGCCGGATCGGGCGGAGCCGCCCTCACTCGCCCGGGCGAGGCGGACCTCGCCCAGACGCCGCGAGAGTCGCCCTCGCTGCGCGAGCGAGGCGGCCCTCGCCCGAGCTCGAGCGAGGTCGACCCTCGCCGACGCCGGCGAGGGTCGACCTCGCTTCGAGTCGGCGAGGGCCGCCCTCGCTCGTCCCAGCGAGGGCGAACCTCGCCGACAGCCGGCGAGGCCGCCCTCGCCGGATCCGGCAAGGGCCGCCCTCGCTCGACGCCGGCGGGGCCCCCTCGCCGGATCCGGCGATGGGCAGCCTTGGCCGAATCCGGCGAGGCCCCCCCTCGCCGGAAAGGAAAAAAAAGAAAAAAGAAAAAGCAAAAAAGACGAAAATGCCCATGGACTAAATACATTGGGGTAAATGTGTCACAAAAAGCAAAGTTCGGGGTTTTTGGTGTCACAAAAAAAAGTTCGGAGTAAATGTGTCACAGATGGCAAAGTTTGGGGTTTTTGGTGGTTTTTTCCCTAAAATTATAAATCACAAACATAATTTTTGCAAAGGCTCCGTTCGTTTTGCAGAAAAAGAATGATTTGCAATGAACTTCTAAACTTGTAAAATTTTTCTAATCAAGTGACGCAAATGCGGAGTCGACGAATAGGTTTTCAGTGATTATGGATCAAATGTTATGAGTGGGGATGGATAAATATAAATACATGATAGGTTTCTATCACTACCAACTCGAGAGTCTCGATTATGAAACTACTGAAAAAGCATATTCAACTCGAGACCCGAATCATATTCTTCAGCTGTCTAAATTTGAGATCTCAGCTTCGAAATATAATCCTCAAGTTGGACACGAGTCTTTTTCAAAAAGTATGTTTCAGAATTTTTTCCAATATCATAAAAAGAAATTTATCTTATTTGCAAACGGATAATAACCAAACCCAAGAAAATCAAATGTTTCAGTGCTTTTTCATTGTTGAAATTGAAAATAATAGTTGAGGTACTAGGATAACAAAACCCGAAACGAGAGAAACCTTCTGTCATGCATGCTCGGTTTTCCTCATCCCCTCTTCCCGCACGGGTCGTCAAGCTTGCGACCCATCCGTAGATTTCGAGAAATGACCCTGAGGATTCTTTAAGATTCGAAAGCAAACGCGCCGGAAATTGAGACTCGGGTTTTCTGTGCAACGGGAAGGAACCAAAGAGGGACTGTTTGGATCCTTCAATTCTTGCTCTTTCCAAGCTGATCGGTTGGTTTGATGGGTGAGTTGCTATTTTGTTCTCCCTTTGAATCATGGGTAATTGTTAAGAAAGCGAAGTAGATTGAAATTCGGAGGCTTTTGTTATGCTTCGGATTCCTAGCGTGTTCTGTGTCGTTCAGTTTGTTTTATGTAGGCTCTGTGAATGGGGTACAATGTTGTGGTTGTGTTCCCATGATGTTGAGTTGTGAGATATTACAAGAAAGTGATTGTGCAGTATTAATTGAACGTCAAGATTGTTGAAGTTGACGTTGGATGGCTATTGGCCTTTCTGTAATAGTTCCTAGGGAGAAAGAAAAGATTGAAAGTCTTTGGATGTTTTGTCTTGAAGCTTCTTTTGAATGATCTTCTTCTGTTCTAATCCTGAAGTCCATATTCTATGTAGCCTGAACATAGTTCAGCTGTTTAGATTGCAGAGGCTAGTGACTTCTTGTTTTATAAGCGAACGTCGTTGGATCGGTACCAGCTGTAATGCCTAATCCCGTTTGTGAGTTGGTTGATGAGTAGGGGTGTGAATGAGTTAATCTACTTGCGGGCTACTTGAACTTTGTTCTCCAAATACTCAAGCTTGACTCACCTATATGTGGAACTCAACTCAACCATTTTCGAGCTGGAGCTACTTGAGTAGCTTCTTGAGCAGAGTTTCGAGCTAATAATTACTTGAGTCGAGTGGCTCGGTAGCATAGTAGAGCTTCCAAAGATCTGTTCCTCATCTTAATTTTGTCTTGGTAGAACCATGACCATGAAATCTAAGAGTTTTTGAAACTTAACCCCTTTCAAGAAGGTTGTTTCTTGCCCTAATGAAAAAAAGTCGTCTCTCTCTCTCTCTCTCTCTCTCTCTCTCTCTCTTCACACTTTCGCCTATTGTTTTTCTTTTGTCTTTCTCAATCTGAAGTTTATTTTGTCTGTGCATCTAATGCATAAGGTAAGTACCCAGTTGAAATCTTGGATCCCTGTCTTGTATATGTTCTTCCACCAACAGTTATAATTTTTTTCCATTCATTTGTTATATCTAACGGCATAGCCCAAAGTATTGCGCAATCCAAGTGGGGAATAGATGTCCAATGTCGTGCCTCAACTTGTTACTTTCTTTCTCTTTGGGAATAATCAAACTTGTTACATTCCTCCATCTTGAAATGTTCAAGATCAAAGCTGCCATTTCTTCCTAAATATACACTTATAAAGAACAGATGTTTGTCCGAATTAAATGAATTTTGTCGTTTTGGTTCATTGTGCATCAATGCTAATTTTGTTCTCCAGTGCGGTGATGCTCTGAAAATGAGAGTGTCTTTCAGTATGTAGAGGCCAAAGAATTCGTATATTTAGGTTTTTTGGATAGAACTATCTTGCAATTTTGGAATGATACTGGCAAGATGATCTGGATTGAAATAATGCATTACGTATTGATGACATCTAATAAGGAACTGTATATGCACTGGGGAGCCATCAATTAATGATATGCAATTGATTATTGATGTAGAAAGGTGCCTTTGGCCCCACTTCTTGATTAATGTTATCTGTAGATAGTCCTTCATTTTGGTACATCAGGGTTTACCATGTATCACTTATATCTGAGTTCAAATTCTGGCCTAATTGCATGCCCTTTGTTATGTATCAGGACCATATGTGCTTGGCTTCTTAAAACACAGTACAACTTCCTTAGTTATATTTTGGCCTTGTAACTAAATATGAATTTGTTTCACAAGATGGACGTAAGATTTAGCTAGCTGTAACTTAACGCTTTTCCTTGCCAAGTTGTATCTTTAATCAAGTTAATTGTACACTTGCAGGATTCTTCAGATCGTTGTTCAGATTGCTGGATTATGTAGAGTCATCAATCTAATAATGGGATCTTTTATTCATGGAAGGGGAAAGTTGGATGGCTGCTCATTTTGCTCAAGGAATGTACTTATCCATATCTTCTAGCGACTGAGTGGAAGAACATAATTTTGTTGTTGGTCAAGAATTCACTGATGTCAAGGCATTTAGGAATGCCATTAAGGAAGCTGCAATTGCACAACACTTCGAGCTTCGCATCATCAAAAGTGATCTGATACGATACTTTGCAAAGTGTGCATCAGAAGGTTGTCCGTGGCGAATACGTGCTGTGAAGCTTTCCAATGCCCCAACCTTCACTATTAGAAGCCTTGAAGGAACCCACACTTGTGGAAGAAATGCTCACGACGGTCACCATCAAGCTTCAATAGATTGGATAGTGAGCTTTATAGATGAAAGGTTGAGGAGTGACATAAATTACAAGCCAAAAGATATATTGCATGACATCTATAAACAGTATGGGATAAAGATATCTTATAAACAAGCTTGGCGTGCAAAGGAAAGAGGGCTTGCAGCGATTTATGGCTCTTCTGAAGACGGATATTGCTTGCTTCCTGCATATTGTGAACAAATAAAGAGGACTAACCCTGGAAGTGTCGCCAAAGTATTTACAACTGGTGCTGATAATCGCTTTCATGGGCTCTTTGTTTCTTTCTATGGATCCATATGTGGATTCCTTAACGGTTGCTTGCCCATTGTTGGACTTGGAGGAATCCAGCTCAAAAGCAAGTACCTTGGGACCTTGCTTTCAGCTACTTCTTTTGATGCTGATGGGGGTTTGTTTCCACTGGCCTTTGGTATCGCTGACGTAGAAAATGATGAAAGTTGGATGTAGTTTCTGTCAGAGTTGTACTCAGCACTAGAGATGAACACTAAGACTATACCTAAGGTCACATTTTTGTCATATGGACAAAAGAGCATTGTGGATGCTGTGAGAGAGAAATTCCCAACTTCAACCCACGCATTTTGTGTGCACTATCTTAGTGAAAAGATTGGGAAAGAGTTTAAGAATATGAGGCTCGTCCATCTTCTTTGGAAAGCTGCATATGCCACAACTACAATAGTTTTCAAGGAAAAGATGGCTGAAATCGAAGATATCTCTTCTGATGCTGCCAATTGGTTGCATCTATTCCCTCCTCAGCACTGGGCTTCAGTATGCTATGAAGGAATACGTTATGGTCATCTCTCTTCAAATATTGAGGAACTGAAAAGGTGGATTCTAGAAGCTCAGGAGTTGCCTCTTATTCAGGTAATCGAACAGATTCATGCTAAACTGATGATTGAGTTTGAGGAAAGGCGATTGAGGAGTAGTTCTTGGTTTTCTGTACTTGCCCCTTCACCGGAAAAGCTCATAGTAGAAGCAATTGCCCTATCCTCTACTTATAAAGTCCTCCGTTCGGATGAAGTAGAATTCGAGGTTTTGTCCACTGAGAGATCAGACATTGTGAATATTGGTATGCGTTCCTGTTCCTGTCGTGATTGGCAACTCTATGGAATTCCCTGCTCACATGCCGTGGCAGCTCTCGTTTCATGTCAAAAGAATGTGTATGCCTTCACAGAAAATTGTCTTACCATTGCTAGTTACCGTGAAACATATGCACAAGAAATGTACCCAATTCCTGGAAAAATTGAGTGGAGAAAACCAGGTGATGCCCCGCAGGCTGATGGCACTCAAGTTGTCCGACCACCCAAGTTCCGTCGACCACCAGGACGTCCAGAAAAGAAAAGATTATGTGTGGAGGAATTCAATTGCAAGAAACATACCGTCCATTGCAATCGGTGTAACCAAACTGGACATTATAATAAGACCACTTGCAAAGAAGGAAGAGTGACTAGTATACAACAGTTTTAGGTTTCTAATTTTGTACTACTCACATGTTTTGTTGTTGTAAAGTAGATAATGTGCCATTCTTATAGGATTGTACTTATAAAAACAAAACAGTGGCTAGGTGAATATTCAACTTCAAGTTCTTGGTTGGTTATTCCATCTTTGAATATAAATTAGTCTTGTTACATTAAGGACCACGATAATGAAATCTAACTTCTTTCACAACTTTACTCCTTTTAAGTAGGATTTTCTTTGGCCTGTGACTTGAGTTAAATTCTTGTATCTTTTGTTTTGACTTATATATCTTCTTCCACTAACCATGATATTCTCTCTCAATTCATTTGTTAGATGCAGCGACATAGCCTATAGTATTCCCCAGTATATACATGAAATAATAAATTCGTTTTGGGAAGATTTTTTAGTCATTTCTTCGTTTTTGGCTCTATTTTTCTGGTTGTCATAGCTCTGCTTTTCCTACGATTTCTTAACAGTAGCACATCGGTTTTCATAGATTTTGAAATTCTACTCTGTTGAATCTCTTTAAGTTCAAAGATTCAGGCTTGAGTTTTTCTTTCCTTTTGTTTTACTCTCAGATTTGTTTTGATTGGACCGTTGGCTATATGTATCAATAGAGAAAGTTTGATTTCTTGTTTGAATGGGGACACAATGAACAAAGCCCAAGACTTTGGAGTTGGGATAGGCACGGTATTGAAGAGAAGACAAGGATATTTTTGTTTTTTTATTTTATATTTATTTTGAGATCAGATTTACTTTTCCTGTCTGAGATTTGAGCATGTTAGTTTGACAGTATTATAGGTCAGTTGAATCTGACTTCGAGCATGCCGGGTATCTTTCCAAAGCCAAGTTGAAGCCTTAAAACTGGTACTTCAGAGTTGTAAGTTTGTTAATCAAGTTGAGTTCGAGCTTTGCATGGTATTTGCTCGACTCGACTCGACTCGATTACACCCCTATTGATGAGCTTATAGGTTAATGTATTACGATGAGGAAACAGAATATCTGAAATCATATATATTTGTGGATCTGAACTTGCATTTTTATTTCTGAGGTATATGATTATGTCACTTAAGAAGCATCCAACTATAGACAGAATGATGAAGTTGTGAATAGAGATGGCTTTTTGCTTCTGGAGCACATGTATTACTATAATCAATTTGTATAGTTGCAACTAATGAATTTGTCAATCTGTTAGTGCAACCAATAAACCAGGAATGTCATTCTTGGAGATCTTTCTCGTTCGTTTTATGGAGGCCCTCTATGCTTGTGTATCATTGCATTGCATGCTCTATAGGTTTTTTAATCTTGATATTGTGCTTTCTTTCCTTTTTTTCTCTCCGAGAATGGTGTCATCTCTTATTGTATCCTACTCAAAGTACAAATGGAACTTTTCTGGACAAGGCAAATGATGCCATTGGTGTGATGTGATTTCTTGCTATGTGGTTCCTTTCCTACCATTTTTTTTTTTTTTGGTTAAGGCAAAGTTAATGGGGAGTGTGCTCTGCCCTGCTCTTTTCATTATGAATTCTCTGGCATTTCTCCTTGGTAACAATTGGCTTTTGTTTAGACTTCTGTTGATGTCTGCTTGAGTTCACGGCGTTTTGTCTGTTAGCCTATAAAGCTGTGGAAGTAAATGAAAGCAACGACTGCAACCGAAGAAGCCGACCCGAAGGAAGATGAAGAGATGAGAGCAGCAGTAGAGGGCACTGGGAGGATACTGGTTCTTCAAGCAGCACAAGCCACAGGTTGTGATGTGGATTATGGTAGTACTGAACCTTAATGTTCTTCAAGTAGACGTACACATGAGAGTAGCCAAACAAAAGTAAATGAAGAGATTGAAGAGTTTCTACACTGAAGGTCACAGAATCTCTCTCTCTCTCTCTCTCTCTCTCTCTCTCTCTCTCTCTCTCTCTCTCTCTCTCTCTCTCTGCTTGTGTGTGTGATTAAGAGTTTCTTTTTGCCATAGTCAAGCGCCGCCGAGGTGCTGTGGGGTTCATTCGATGTTGGTCGAGTAAGACGTAGAACCGTAATACTTCACAGACTACTTCACAAGCTGTCAAGCATGATTTTCATTCAAAACAATCCTTCTCGAGCCCATTTTCAAGGCGCTGATTGCATTAGTAGCATGAGTACAAAGACATGGAGATTAGTTGGCCACAATTGACATGTAACCTAATTCCTTGAATGGTACAAATCCATGCCTTGACGAAATGATGATATGAAAAGGAAAAACCAAAGCTATATAATGAATTCTTTCAAAATTTGTCTAATCTTTTTTTTAAAAATTTATTGGCAAAATGGAAATTTTCTAATCTGGGTCGGTACATGCACCATGATCAGAAGATACAATTCAGATCATTTCCTCATTTGGTACTCTTTTGTCGGTATTGTTTTAGGGACTTGAGAATGTGACTTTATACCTAAATCTTTCAATTATGATGATACTTATCAGTATGATATCCTGCAAATATTTGAGAAAGATTCCTTTCTATATCCCATCAACAATTAAGTAATTAAGCAGAGGATTTTCTTTTACAATCGTTCCTCGCGAGGAATTTATAACTGTCGGATCTCAAAATTATATTTCTTAGCCATAGGTAAATGTTTTTGTGCCGTCACGATATTTTGTATTAGAGTTGCGACGAAATACACATGATTATTATGAGTTACGATTGGAAAATCTGTCTCTTAGATATGATAGAAGTCCCTCACGTAACCAATATCATTTACGGCTTGTGCCGATCTATGCGAATCATGGGTTTCTACCCCTTTAAAAGTTATATAAAAGCCCGATTAAATGCCTTCGCTTAGATAGAACATAACAACATCACAAAATCACGAGCCTAATAATGTCTATGTAATTCGAATGGGGGCTTCATGTGACAACTTTAGCAAAGTGTCAAAGAAGGATGCGATTGCATAAATCGAATAAAGTTGTTTCTCTTTTAAAGAAGTGATTGCATTAATCGAAATTTGTAATGTATTTTCATTTTTTAACCCTTAGAAATCTTTTAACTCACTTAGCAATAAAAAGACGTGAAAGTGCTTTTATTTGAAAAGGTGTTGCGTATCGTCGCAATTCCGACTTTTCCCCATTCCATCAAGGCACGGAAGTGAGTTCCTTAATAGCGGAAGAAGCGTAGGGGTTGTGAGGTGGATGATATAATTGGATTGTGGGAGTAATGCCAGGGAGTTTGTGTTAGAAATCACATAATAAGAGGAATCTATGTAGAAGATGACCGGATAGTGGGGGTAGCCGACCGTCCACAAACTGGTATGGAGTTGATGGTCATTCTCCCGATGATTGCTACCATAAGCCAAACTTGAATTGAAACACATACCATACTCAAAAAACGAGATGCCCTAGTTAAAGGGTGATGTGGGACAATTAGTGACAGTGGGGTGTTTGACAATACAAAAACACGAGTTCCATCTTTGGAAAGGAAGGCTGGCCTGCTGCGTTAGGTGCCGCGCGATCCCATGTCCGAAGCCAATAAGGTCAGATCGCGACACATATGCACTTTCCAACGACCCCTGTTTCTTCCTCGCTCACTCTTAACTCCGTCACTCCCCCTTATGAACCCCTCTCTTTATTCTCACGACATGAACGTGTAAATATGCGCTCAAATTTTACTAGTTCAGAAAAAGGGATACCAACATAAATAATCAATGAACTTTGGTCCAATATGCAATGTTGTCATTGGATTTTTAATTTGTGCAATGTGATCCCTATACCTGTTAAACGGGTGGGTCGGGTCGAGTTTGGGTCGGGTCATAAATGAACGGATCCAAATTGACCCATTAACCCGTTTATGACCCATTTATTCATAGTGTAAATATCCTGACCCATACCCGACCCGACCCATACCCAACCCATACTCGACCCGACCCATATTGCTAAAACACTTTTATATTTAACATAATCTAGGAATACTTGTTTCTTATGATTTTTTTTTAAATTATACTGCTAAAACATTTTATGCAATACAAAGCTAGTGAAAAATTTTTATAATTTTTTTTAAAATTGAGGTTCTGTTTGTTTTACGAAAAATGCAACATTTCTAGAAAATATTTTCCATAAAGTCATTATCCAAGAAAATAAAAAAATTACTAACATTTGGCTGAAACTTGAAAATAAACTAGAAAATATTTTTCTATATTTGGTATATAAAATCTGATTTGATTTTACTTTGTGCATTCATTTTAATAATATTAATATTTTTTTATTTTTAAAATCGAATTTTTAATTCTTTTTTTCTTTTTTTCTTTTTCCTTTATTTTTGGCCGATCACTGGCCGCCGTGGCCGGCGACCGACCACAGGCGAGGACGAGCTCGCCGGAGGCCGGCGAAACTCGTTCTCGCCGATCTGGCGAGGCCGAGGCCTCGCCGGCCTCAGGCGAGGCTCCAGCCTCGCCGATCTGGCGAGACTCGAGTTCGCCGGCCTCGGGCGAGCTCGACCTCGCCGGATCTGGCGAGGTGGAGCCTCGCCCGAGGCCGGCGAAGCTCGAGCTCGCCAGCCTCGGGCGAGGCTCCAAATCGCCAGATCCGGCGAGGTCGAGCGCGCCTGAGGCCGGCGAGCCTCGAGGTCGCCAGAATCAGGCGAGCTCGAGGCTCGCGGATCGGCGAGGCTCGAGCCTCGCCCCGAGGCCGGCGAGCTCGAGCTCGCCGGCCTCCCGGCGAGGTCGTCCCGCCCCGGTGGCCGGTCGCCGTGGCAAACCACCAGCCGAAATAAAAAAAAAAGAAAAACAAAGAAGAGAAAAGAAAAAATAAAAAATAAAAGAAAAAGAGAAAAAAATAATTAAATTTCGATTTTTTTTAAATATTTTTGTAAAGAGGGAGAGAGAGTATGGATGGGTTTAGTGGGTGAGTTGGACATGGATTCCAAACTCAACCCATTTAGACCCATTTATCTTTAAGCTTTAAAATTTAAAACCCATTTAAGGTTGACTCTTTAAAATTAAAGTGACCCATATATGACCCATTTATTTTTAAATGGGTCATATATGGG